AAGAAAGAAAGAAAGAAAGAAAAAGAAAGAAAGAAAGAAAGAAAGAAAGAATAGTCAAGTTCAACATTTTCAGAACTACTGGATATCAAACAAACACTTGCAATAATTTGAGGACTTTTTTTTTTTTTAAGAAAAAAAGCTGAATCATGTTAAGGTTATTAAGTTGTCTTGCTTTTTAAATTTCCTTTAGGGGTATCACCTCTCTCCAACTTTGTGCCTTTTAAAACCAAAGGTCTTGCAATCCCAGTAGCTGGGAAAACCACTGGCCTCGCAACCACTGGGGAGTTGGAAATCTCCAAAGTTCTGTCTCCAGAGAATTGTCACTATTTGACCTGTCTGGAAGTTCCCTGAATGCCTCCACTCACAGAACTTGTTTATATTAAACCCAGAGCTCTCTCTGTGTAGACTCCCCTTTCCCCTGGGGTATCTGTCCGAAAAGATCAACAGCAGTTGCTTAACATGGTTGTTGCCCGAGGTGGTGGAAGCATCTGGAGCAAAGAAGTAGCCAATTTTTTAAAAAGACAAAAATAAAAAGGAAACATTGGAGAATGAATTAGTTTTTCAAATTAGGCTTTGAAAAACTGCAAGTTCCAGGAAGCTAGAACACCACACATATATGCAGGACTGTGTGCCTGTACCAGAAAACACCTGAGGTTGTTAGAAGTTAAGATGGTCATTCTAATGTTCAGAGGAATCAGTGAGAAAACAGATGGCAGAAAAATATGGAAGAAATGACAAGGATATGAAAATGGTACACTAAAAAATCTATGTAATACAAAAGAAGATAGAACAGGAGGAATTGGAAAAGATATATGACGTGTAGAAAATAAATGGCAAAAGGAAGATACAAACCCTCCCTTACTGGTAAAAGTAAATGCAAATAGGTCAAATACTTCAGTCAAAATACAAAGATTGGCAGGAGGATGTTTCTGGCTTTAGAATGTGGGCCATTCGTACTGGAGTGAGGTGATAGCTCATTGTGGTTTTGATTTACATTTCCCTGATAACTAGTGATGAGTGATGTTGACTGTTTTTTCATATGTCTGTTGTTCATTTGCTTCTCTTTGGAGAAGTGTCTTGTTAGTTCTTCTGTCCATGTGTTTTTAAATAATATACATTTTTATATATTTGACATCATTGTTGAGTTTGGTGCAATGTATGCTTTCTCCTGTCAGGTGTGGTCGCCTTATAATTCCCACCACCAAGTCACCGGTGACCATCACCATAGTCCCTTGTGCTCCCCCCACCCCTGCTTTAGTTCCTCTCCCCCGCCTCCCCTGCAGAATGTCTCCACTTTATAGCTGCCTGCTAGTTTTGTCTTCTTTTGGAGGGGGTGGTCCCTTATTTGGTTCCCCTATTTTTTTTACTGTGTTATTTGCTTTATTTTTGTTGTGTAAACTCTTTGTAGATCTTTGAT